ATCAAACAAACATTCACATCTTGTACTTTAGCAATTACAATCCAAAGTGACATACAAAAGTTTTCAAAAGTTAATATATACACGGTTTGCCAAATTGAAAGTGAAAACGGCCCTAAAGATACATTTAGGGTTTCACTTCAAATACAATACAAAAGAGATATACATCTAGTTCATTCGGCAACCATCTATCAAGATTCATTCCAAAAAGAGTTATATTCCTGTAAGGAAAACAAAAGGAACGGTGTGAGCTAATTGCCCAGTGAGATACTATCACTTACGCAACCAAGTGCATATAAGCATCAAACTTTCATTCAATATAGTAAAATAAGCAAAGGTACACGTCAAATATGGTGATAAAAGAATACGGATGGCTCTCAAGAGCCCTTTCCTCGTTTGCATTTCTTGATCGGACGTCATTGACTCTCCGTCAATGTTCAAAAGTATCCAACCGTAGACTCCACTTTACTCCCACTCCTTCCACCTAACATACCCCTACCGGGCCCGAAATCCAAACACTTGCACTTTGATATTACTCGAGTATACCGGAATCGAGAGTCTCGCATACTACAAGATTCCATATAACTTTACCCAAGGTTCATTAATTGGCACGACCAAGCCCTCGCCGGCTCGATTCAATCAACTACCAATGGGGTTGAGGTCAATGATAACATTTGTAGTCGTTGGATACTCGTCCAATCAATTCACTTTCATTTCATTTCATGTAACATTCCAATAACATGACAACAATGATATAAGGCATATAAGTGAGAGTGATAAAGTACACTTTCACTTCAATCAAGTCACATTCAATTCACTTCAAGCAATTTACATTCAAAGCCACATAGTAACATACAAGTGAGTAGTACTCACCAAGGTCAGTGCAGATACCTCCCAAAAGAGAGTTTTAATCACCAAGAAACCCTAAAATAATCCAAGAAAAACAATTAAAGGTTCCACTTTCAAAATCGAGTATACAGAATGCACATGTGAGGCTCGACTACCAGTCGTATGCCTCGCCAAATAATTACTAAAGCAAGGGTGCAAAACATGATTTTGGGTAACGAAAAGGTAACATGAAGACCTAGGCTCAAACAACCCAAAAGTCCTTCGTTCAAATCACAAGTAAATCCAACTAGCCTTCAAGAAAAATTTCGGCAGCATATCCCTTGTTTTTACCTATTTTTCAGCCATCATGGCTTCATTATGTCCTCAAATCAGTCCCAACATCTCGTACAAAATAATCTCATTCCCAAAAACCGTTCACTAGGCTTAATGGCATTCAAGTACAAAATTTAGCTAGGAAATGACCGGATATGGAAGTCAAGCCCTAAACTAGTCAAATAAATACAAGAAGACTCGATTATAAGTCATAAACCAATTCTACATACTACCAAAATAGGGTCCCCTAAGCATACACAAACAATAGAGGAAACTAGAAAATTCGGAAATGCAATTAGCTTTGGCCCTGAAAAAAAAACAGTTTTTGTCCTCATTTTGCGGTAATGGCACCAATTTCACTACGATTATCGGATGAGGGTGCAAGACCCACCATTTCGAAGCTAAAAGACAGGACTACAACATCACAGAAGGTCACTCAACCCAGGTTTTGAGTGCAAACAGGTCAAAAATGCAAGATACTACACCAAAACCCGTAAAACAGATTCACAGAACGCATTCTAGCGGAAACATCATAACTCAGCCTTCCTAAGTCCAAATTCAGAAATTCCAAAACCAGTGAAAATCTAAGAAACAGGGTTAAATTTCATCAGAAGGCCTCAATAACCAATTTGGAAGCAATTCCAGCCAAAACAACCAATTACAGGCGTAATTCTTGCATTCGGGTAAAACCACAACAGCAATAGTAATTTCGACTTTTCTCATTCTACACTACTCCGATTGACCTGAAATTTTGTAGGCACCTCTAAAATGTCATTCCCTACAACTTTTATGTTTTAAGCCAAGGCCAATTCGACCTCTAAATAGGAGCTAAAAATTCGGCAGAATGCTCCCACAAGAACCCTAATTTTCTGAAATTTCTTCCAAACCAGAAATTGGTTGCAATTAATCACTTTTTCCACCTCCTAGAGTCATTATATACCATTTCTAATCATCATAGATAGCCACACAATCATGCTTATATTAAAACAGAAAAATCCCCAAAAATAATAAAATTCCATCATTTCAACCACAAATCAAGAAATAATCCATAAACTTGCATCTCATACTACCACTAAGCATGATTTAAGCATCAATTAAAGGAGGAGGTGGTTCTTCACAACTTACCTTAGAAACAAGAGAGAGAGATCTATTGGTTACCTTAACTTTCAAAAAAAACTTCACACAAACAACTCACCAACACTTCCTTAAGTGGTTTTATGGAGAAAAATCAAGGTTGGATGGTTGGTTTTGATGATTTGGAACAAGATTGAAGTGTTTTCTTCCTTGTGCTTGGAGTAAGAGAGAGAGAAAGAGAGCAAGAGAGGGCTGGCCACCTTAGAGGATTTTTTGATGATTTTTGGGTCATTTTTGGTTTATTTAAGTCAAATGGTAAGACCATGAATAGTGGTCTTAAGGTTCAACCACTCAAATGGTGACACTTGTCACCTTTTAATAAATACCTACCTACATTGTCTCTCTTATATCAATCCACTTAGCACCCTCTACTTATCTCTTAACACACCGATAAATTAATTCCAGTATTCAAAACTTAATCTAGTTGGCCGAATTTTTCTGAACTTTTCGCACCAGGGTCTCACATCCGGTATATGCTCTTAATTTCTCAAAATCTATTTGATACTAGAAAAATCATCTAAAAATTATATCTGCTCCTTAACATTATCTAGAAAATTTTTCTAATCACGAAAATGCAGAAAACAAGCCATAAAAATACGAGAACCTAGAAAATAAAAATTACGGGTTCTCACAGAGAGGAAGAGAAGAAAAATAATGAGGTATTCTAAAATACCTCTTTAAAAAAATAAGGTAGGAGTGGATAAAATCACAGAAGAAAACAGCCAGGATGCAAATATTGGAACCATTGTTGAAGACATTATGAAACCGAGAGAAGATTTTTAGTAAATGTTCCTTCTCATTTGTTAAAAGAGAGGGTAAGTGTATCAGTCATGAGTTGGCAAAATTTGCCTTCAAGTTAGTTTATGAAGTTCAGTGGAGGGATTCCTTCCCTGCTTGGTTGACTAGTTTAGCCAGAAAAGACATGGAAGCAGTTGCTCCAATTTTGTAATTGTATTACTGCTTTATCTGCAACAGAATGTTATATTATCATTTGAAAAGAAAAAAAGACACTTGTTTACCCTACACCTATCACTACTCTTACTCTAATCTATCCTAAGGGGAAGGCCCAACTGGGCCTATTGAAAAATCGACGGGGACTAAACTACCATCGGATCAGATGGATGCACTATGCATCCGTATGGATTTAAGCTATTTAAAGTGACAGTCACATATAGTAGCAAGTGATGGGAGACAAGGTTTGAATCCTTGACCTCTCATCTCACCAAACCTTAAAGACGTGCATTAGTAATGTAGAACACATGTTTAAGGGATAAAGGTTGCAGATACATTGCTGAATTTTCAGGTAAAAGTGCGTCACCAGAATTACTTCGTTATTCACCACATAACTGTTTTTTTTTTCTAGGACATGGGCATGAATCGAATAAATTAAGTGCAATTGACAAGAACCTATGATGGTTTAATCATACATGAGCTAGAAATTATATCTTGTGAGAGCGGTCTTTAATATACTTAAACCTACAACATAAAACATTTTTTTATAAAGTTTTTGAAGGGCAAAATTTTAAATTCATAAATAATATTTTAGAAATTTTTAGAGGAGGACAATTGAATTCTAAAATAATTTGAGGGCCAAAGGCTCCTCCCCGCTACCCTAGTTTGATCCCTCGAGCCCAAAGCTCAAATGTTGCTAGGTGAATTGTTCTGAATAATTTTGCTTAATTCAACAAAATATGGGTCCATTTATTCAGAATTTAAATCATCTTCAATACAATGCGAACATATAAAAGATTTTCATAAATTCTATATATGATAGACGATGTATACAATATAATATCGATCTTAATCAATCATAGCCATTAACTTTTAGGGCCGATTGAAATCTAAGAAAAAAATTGTTGAGGTCGTCTCAGCCTTTGACCCAGGAAATCTTAGTTGATGACATGCCTCATTTTTAGTCTCACTTAGGTCTTGTTAAATAATCCAATTTAGCACTTAAATTTAATGAATTCAGATCTTAATATATTTTGATACATTTCATAACTAAAAATTAAACATCAAATTAATTAAATGACACTAAATTTTCTAAACAAAACTTGCTCCAAAAAATAAATGATAAGTTATTCACTTATCACTAAATGTGATATACACTCAACTGTATTAAATTTAATACTTAACAATTTAATAATTTAATAATTTAATGATTTCAGACTTCAAATTTCAAATTTGAGTTTTATAAAATGCATTTTTAGGCACCATTTGAATTGAAGGAAAGGGAAGAAAAAGAAAGGAAACGACACCAATGGGAGGGAAAAGGAAGGTAAGTGCAAGAAAGTAATTTCGTTCCCATTTGCCTTTGGATTAAATATGAAAGGAGTAGAAAGGCACTACAGTTTTGCTTAGATTGAGGAAGGAAAAGAAAGGAAAGGAAAAATCTAAATATTAGTTAATAAAAAATTAAGAGGAGAAAAACTTTTAAAAAAATTTAAATTATTGCAGTAAATTTGATTCCTCATCCCATTATTTCCGCCCACTCTTAGATGGAAATCAAATCTAATAAAAACATTTTGAATCCTTTCCGTTCCTTTGCTTCTCTTTCCAGCCTCAAAATGCAGTCCAAACAAAAGGGAGAAAAAAAAACTCCCCCAAAATCCTCTCCATTCGTCCCATTCCGCGATCCAAACGATCCAAAATCCTCGATCCAAACGATTCCCTAGTTACAGACTTGGCTAAACTATGGTAGAAAGGCAGGAGTAATAGTCAACCACAGACTAAACTCAACTATAAGAACACAAAAATTACTCACCAAATTACACATAAAAGGGGTGAATACGATATAAGAGCAGAAAAAAAAACCTGTCAAATTGAGCTAAACCTCACAACTACGAGAATTCAAAAATTACAAGGCATCATCCTCAGTGTGCTACTTGTCACAATACAACATATAAACCCCATACCAAATGCATCCTCCTTATCACTGCACTAGAAATGGGTGAATTGGTTCAATGGTGCGGCAGGTAGGTAGCACAACATGGTACAGAAATGGTGCTGCTAGCCGAAATATAGATCCTCTTGCCATTTAATGTCTTAGCTCGGTTTAGACTAAAACATCAAATGACATCCTGTGAGTTTATCCCAGAAAATAACAATTAACAAGAGCTCGCATGAAATATCCGTCAGACATCATTCCTCCTGGTTAGGTGCAGTTATCCAAGGAACATGGCAATGCTCCTTTTTCCTTGGATAACTGCACCTAACCAGAAAAGGAAAAAGGAAAGACAAACAAATCAAAACCAAAACAAAAACAAAAAAAAATCATGCAAACAAGTTTTCAGAACCCTGGAAAAAGTCCGTCACAATGATTTGAGAGTCGGTCGAAGCCCCACAGCTGTAAACCACATTTTTTCCACACACACACACACATATATTAACTAATAACAGCTGTTACAGAAAATATCTCCATATGGATTAAGACGTCTAAACCAGATTAAGGCTATCCTTCTCACTAAGCTAAAGAATCCGTTATATTTCAGCAACACTTTCTAATTGTTTGCATAATGCTTCTCAAGCTCAAACAACAAGCTTACAACCCATCTCAAAGCCCATTCAGACAATGCACTAGAATGCTAAGCACAGCTTTATGAACCCAATGCTGTTGAGCATCCCAATCTCACAGTAAAGCTGTGGATAGTTTGTCTACAGTTTTATGGCAGGATGAGATGTGTATACATTACGTAATTGTATGATGAGCACATGAAATGTGTGCAAGAACCACTCAACAAAAAGTATATGTATTAAGTGAAATATCAAACTGACAATTCCTTAACCTTGTGAAATAGAAAATTTCCTTTTGCAATTAACCATCAATAATACAGAGTAAACAAAAAGCAGAAACAAAAGAGCAGGTTTGTTAATTATTTGACAGCCAAAAAGACATCTTACCACATATTCATTGCCAGACACAGTCAGAAGCTGAAAAACATAAAATATCAATGAAAGAGTGAATGATATGGAAAAAATTCCACAGAGGAAATCCATCTCATCAGGAAATCTCTTATGGGGCATACTGCAGATGGGGCAAATCAGGTCGACCTAACATAGATCAAACAAAAGCTGGCACTCTTCGATAAATCGAACAGATGAAATTTGCTTAATGAAATCTCTTTTTCTTTCTTGGTTTGGAACTGGAAAGGATGATAGGAGATAAACGTGGCAGCTTGAACACCTGCAGCAGTAAGACAAAAACATTTCAAGGTTGTAGCACTTGAGAAACCTGAATAGTTGTCCACAAGACGCAAGGGACAAAAGTATATTCGTATAAAGTTGAATTACAAAATCTCGCACCAAATATCACATTACATAAAGAAGATTGAGAATGTGGAGAGAGATTCTTCAAAAAGTCACACCAAGTATTAGACCCCCCGGGGGGGGGGGTTGTTGAGAGAGAGAGAGATTTTATAGTCACAAGAAGCTGCCACGCCAGCTATTGTTCTGAAAATGGTTCAAACCCTGCATGGACATACCAAATTATCAATACCTTGCAGCCAGCAAAAGAATATCAGATGAAGGGCTTCAGTTTAGACTTAGACGAGTAAACTCCATCAGAAAATATGGAGTTTTCAGGAGAAAGTTCGCAGAATATATGGCTAACATTAACAGGATTTAAGCGTTCATGCAAATTAAGTTCTAACATAATGTTGAAGAAGAAATCTTCCAATCTAACATCCTTAATGAAATACTGAGAAATGATACACTGCTGGAACTTGTATCTGAATTTCTTTGGTTTGGCCTCCAGTCTAAGTCATTTCTGACACTAGAACACAGCCTCCTTCATGAACTTCTACAAAAGTTTAAAAAACACCAAAAGGTCAAGAGGTGAAGAACAGGATCCTGAATCCACAGACTCATATAATTCTGCCTACTTAACTGATAGTAGCAAGTTCAGAGTCTGAAAATAATTGTGGGCATAATACCTTTAAGCTGCATGGCCACAAAGCTGTACAAACACCTGTAGCATTTATAGGTATTTACTTGTGCCAAAAGAATTCCAGCACTGTGGAATGTCATGGAAAATCCAATAAAGCTGTCAAGAGAACTTAATTCCAGCAAAGTCAATTAAAGGCACTATTTCCTCACAACAAACAGATGCAGACAATGAGAAAAGCAAAGAGCACATACCAGTTTTATGTTCTCAAAAGCATATTCATTCTGGAAAAAAAGGCAATGTTCCAACTTCTGCAATAAGCTGCGCAAGTGCAGCATCTGACAGAAGAACATTATTTGATTCCAGAAGGATGGGCAGTAAACAACTTGTATCCTGGTTTGGTCTATCACAAACTGGTTAACCTCTTTTCTGCATACAACCAGTATGCTGCAAAAAGGACACCTGCAAGGAGATTGATACTCCACTAAATCATTATCCCTACTGTTCATATCTCCACTTGAATGATCCTTCCCTGATCCTGAAAACAAAAGAAACTAGAAACAATATCAATAGGAATCTCAACCACGCAAAAGCCATGTAATTGAACAACTAGTTCTTATTTATGGAAAATAAAGCTTGAAATAAAGATTAGCCAAGCACAGAAACTGTAAAATCACGCAAGTAATGTCGGAAAACACCTTAATTTAACCAATGAAAACGAATTTTATTAGAACATAAATTCTATGTACAAGGACATTTTCTCTGATCTATAAGCACTACAAACAAATACAGTGCTGCTAAGACAAACTAGCTTATAGGGTGAACAAAAAGATTTTTACAGTCGAAGTCAAAAACGTGAAAAGGAACTAAATCAACACATTGTAAGGGTTCACTCAAAATCAACTAGTGCACTAGTATCTGAAAAAAAATATAGCTTAATTTTCATATTGACCGCCACACAATCTCCGTGTAACTGGTCATTTCTTGGTAACAACGATGTTTTCCTCTGTGATTTATACTGAACAGGAATATACAACAAAAGCAACTTCAGACCATCATATTTAGTTCCGACAGATCATCCATTGGAATTTCAAGGCCCATAAAATCATGATCTTGCAATGCATCGTCATCAATGTTCAACCATGATCCTATGTCTTGTCCCTGACCTCCAAAATCATCAGCGACACCTAGGTCATCCATTTCAGGGATCTGCAAGCCGGATAAGTCAATAGGGTCTTCTAGTTCATCCAAGCCATAGTCATTTTTATCTTTGACCATGCCACTTGAGCTTGTATTACTTGTTTTTTGCGTTGAAGGTACGGTAACTTTAGGCTTCTCAGACATCTTCCCAAGAAGGCCATTGACTGATGCAGACAACTGTGCAGTTTTCTGCTTTGGTTTGTTAGACTTCCTTTCTCCCTTAGCCGATGTAGGCCTGCCTGTTTTGGTTGTTCCACTTCTGGATATAACCTCTCTACTACTACCTTTTCCTTCTCTGTCTCTTTCACTCCTCTTTCCCTTCGTACCGCTTGAAAATGAACTCCAATACCTGGTGTGACAGCTGGTGACATGGCAATTGCCCACCACCAACATCATCAAGTGACAATTCCTTCTTTTTTACCCTATTTGACCAGGTCTCTCCTTACCAGAAATTTGTTCTGAGCTAAATTTGCAGACAGGAGTTATCAGAAAACATGTCATGATTGGTTGAAGAAGGGCTCTGCTCTGCACATGTAGAAGCTGCAGAAAGAGAAATAATACTGGCTGAGCATTTATATACACGTATGAAAAGATAATAAATGCAGGAAACCAAAGCCATCAAAATAAAACTTAAGCTAAAAAATATCTAAGACTGGAATTGATTTAGGACTTCAAATTGTGGTTTATTGCTTAATTCAGTGTATGTACTTTAGTGTTAAGCATGTGTTGTTTGTCACATCCTAGGTGGGCAAAACAGTTGTCTACCTAGTGTTCAATAATACACTGTAGTAGCAGCCCTACTGTGGCATAGGTAGAATTATCAGGGACTACTATATTAGTAGAAGTTATAGCCAAACCCAAGGCTGGGAGTCCAACCGTCCGCCAGTATAGCAGCAGTTGACCACCTTGACCACCATATTACCTAGTTGTTCATGTATAGCACCAATGTATGTCCAAATTTAGAAAGTCAAAATAATAAATACCTCTTCTGTTTAGGTATGAAGCATAAGTTGATTTATTCCTTTCCACCACCTATTTAGATACTACCCTCTTCTAATTCCTAAATTATTATTACTTTATCATAACCATCACCCTTGAAACAAGAAATGCTACATCACAATCCAATCAAAAGTCTAGAAAATGGCACAAAACCACTGCAGTCTGACAGCAGCAAAGCAAGCTCCAAGTCCCAAGTTCCTCACCCCTTCCCATCCCTGTAGTCCAGGCATCAACAAAAAAGTACCTGAAGGTCTAACTTCATGTTTGCCAGATTCACCATCAGCAATAGAATCCATAGCTTGGACATCACCAAGCTGGGAGCACCCAGAAACGAAAATGTCCCTGAACAAGGGTTCATTAAAGCAGCTTTTCCAGTTTCCTGATATTCTTGGCAACGTTCAATGTCCTCTTTACAAAAGCTAAAGCAGCATGTTTGGCCATTTTACCATTTGCACTTTTCATCCCATGAGCATTAGGACCACAGCAAGTCTGCAAATACAATGAAAACGTGTTGCAACTTTATGCTTCAACATCCAAAATACATTAATAGGGCAGTTGGAACAAGACCTAACATCCACTCTTCAATTCATCAGACAGACAATGAAAATGCAATGAACACATATGTCAACTTCCAAAGCAGCATATCAAAATAAGGATGTAAAACAATCAAAATTACCATATTTCTCATAAGCCATTACTACGAGTTGTTGAGAGCATGCTGTTCAAACTCCCTACAATAGAATTAGAGAACTTAAGTTAGCATCATGATACACATTAAGAGGCTAAAGTAAATAAAAATATCCTTGCCTGTCTTGAAGCTCTCTGGTGTCAACAGCAGATTTCAGCAGTCTGCTAACTAAACCCTTCCTTTTTGAAACCTAAACACCATTAAACAACTGTAAGATGATCTTGAAATAGTTTCTCAATATCCCGACCATGAAAAATACAAAGGGCTGCATCACACTATGGCAAACACAAGTGGAAATAGAGAATCTGCATAAAATTATGCTCTACAACTCCTTGAGAATAGTCTACAATTGGAGTTTAATGGAACAACATACCAAAACACATCTGCCAATCAAGCTAAAGAAATACAGAAGACAACAAGGCCTAGCTTATGAAAGTCATAACATCCAATGCCCAACCCCATATGACAAAGACAAAAAAGACATGAAAAAGGAATAGCATAGTCCACCTAAAACACATCTATGAGCATACCTCATGACATACAACTAGGAAGACACATTGAGAGAGAGAGAGAGAGAGAGTACTCTAATTGTAATCAGATGATACCTGTTCATAGTAAATCTCATTCAATTTACTAATTTCTGTAGAGATCTCTTCATTCCCAGAATTTGCAGAATCAGGCTGACAGAAGAATAAAGGGAATAGAGGAGGTAAGTATAATGAAGTAAAGGGCACTATAACAAGGCATAAGTTGCTAACAAGAAAACACGAAGAAAAGCAACCCTACCGCAAATTCAGGAAAGATTCCAATACAATGAATTTCCAGGAAAGTCGTTCATTTATCGACATACTACTGTACTGACCCTCAGTGCAGTTGACGCCAGGCAGTGCTTGGTCTGGTGGGAAACCATTTTGTGAATTTCTGTAGCTTGGAATTCTAGTGTCTGGAATGGACAAACTGCTATTGTCTGGCATAATATGTTTGAGCTCATTAAAGGATCCCCGTTAGCACTTATGCGAAAACCATTAGAGGCAGGATTTCCTGATAAATCAGAGTTTTGAGAGAGCTGAGAACAGAAACTATCTGATTTTACATTTGTCTCAGGCTCAAATCCAGACTCATAACCATCAAATCTGATGTCTTCATTTTCATTGTGGCAAAATTGTTCATCTCCTTCAGGAATGAGAGCTGAAATCAGTCTCTGGTAGAGGGAGACATCCTCAAGAGTCTTTGTGGCAGAGGATAAATGCTCCTGGGTATCTTCGCTATATTGTCTTTTAAATCCTCTTTCAATTTCATTACCCCCAAAACCATTGGACACTGAACTAGGATTTACCATCCCTGAAGATGCTGCCATGGGACACCGTGATTGGTTCAAACTCCACCTGCAAGGGGAAAATTCAATAACAACTAAACTAAATTTTGTGGACTAGAAAAATAGTTGAGAATGCAAATGCCACTTGACTTTACACAGACGCAGATATTAATATCCCCCCTTTCTCATTTATTGTATTGCAGTTCTTTTTCTTTTTTTTTTGGTTGTTGGGGGGGGGGGGGGGAGGGGCGGAGGGAACACAAGACATGTTGTGCTCTATCAAAATAATAGAAAATTCTATTTTCTATTCAATTAAAAATAAAATGGAGACATGAAAATTTTCTACGAATTCCTTTTAGCCAAGGTATAACATATCTAAATAAGATATTAGACATCTGTGTAACAGTTTCTGCTCGGATTTTTACAGATGCTTGTAATTGTTGTTATAATTGAAATGGAAAGGGGTTTTTAACTTGATATTCATGTATCAATTTCTATTTTCTTACCTGCTTCATTAGGAAAGAAAATATCAAAGTTAGAGATTCAAACAATTCATTAATTCGCAATCAGCAGTCAATAGTTAATGGTTCCAAGAAGTTGGCCATTCTGAAATGCTATATACTAGAAAAGACAAGGGCGGATCAACTCCAATCAAAATAAAAATTAAACACCAGAACAAATACATTCTTCAAATTTGAAATTGCAGTCACTTAGTAGATGGATTACTTTCTTTCTTTCTTTGCATTCAGTTGAAACATCTTATTAGTAAACTTAACAGCATAGAAATGGGAAGCAAGGCCCAAACAGATCAGTCAAAAGGTAAAAGCAAAAAGCAAAAGCGACATATTCAAACTGAGGGATGAAGTTGGATGAAGTTAGTGTACTCAAACATTATCCAATAGAAACCGTATGCAGAACTACAATGTCAAACAGATTAGGCCAAAGGGGAAAGTAAAATGCAAAGAAACATATTCAAATATGGGGATAAACTTAGGGCACCAAGAGAACTATTCAATAGAAATTGTAAGCAAAAGACTACCATGTCCAAATCTTATACCATCTCAGAAAACAAAAACATCCAGTGACAATAATAAGAAACTAAATATTGCAGACAGGTCAATCTATCAGATCATCCAATTTCTAAAATAGCATAGAGCTCAGTGATAAGCTAGTAATCCTATTATAATGCAAAAAGCTTCTGAAGATGCGAAGTGCCACAACCTTCTGTTTCAAATAGGCCACATCTGCATCAGATACAAACCGAAAGAGTGGCTCCATCTGCTTCCAAAATGAGCTGGAAAGTGCTGGGGCTGCAGTGAAAAGTGGATCAACACCAAGAACCTCTATTGACCATAATATGCACTTTTTTGGATTCATAATGCATGCAGAAAGTTCTGACTGAAACTACACCTGGATTAGGAACAGCATTTGCAGCAGCGAGTAGTACTTCATGTCCATCATCTGAACCGACTAAGAGCATTAAAGAAGTAATAAAGATGGAGAATAATGAACAGCCAGAGAGGTTTTATTGAAATCTCTGACTGAACTC